TTCTCCCTTGGACCAATGGTGATATGTACTCTGGAGTGTGTTGCTGTGTCATGGATCTATGGTGTGTATGACAACCGGATTAATAACAACTGTGTAAACACAAGTTCTGTTGGAAATTGAAATAATCGGCTTCTAGACTTTTACTTGTGATATTTATGAGAAGATGATGATCAGTAGCCTATCGAAAAAACACCTCCCGCCCCAAACGGAAACCAACGGTAAATATATACTAGGCGTCATTAATAAAGGGTCACATGCTAATATAGCTCATGTAAAGAAACGTTTCTCAGAAATAATAGAACTAAGAGTGTCATCATAATCTTTAAAATGTTAACTGCTGACAAACGTGACATACAGACTAAAAGTTCAAAGAGCACAAGCAAATATCAGTTGTAAAGACCAACCCCAAAATGAAAATGACTAGCATGAAGCACTCGGTCATTCAATATCCTGTATACCCTCCTCGCGTGTCCAAGACACAGGTGCACCTTGTTATCATGCTCCTTATGAAGTTCAGAAAGAAAGCTTGCGGAATCGCATTCCATTCGTCTACTGGGAGTCCTGGGAGATCCACTGGTGCTGAGATCGACCGAGTCATTCCCAGGCATGCTCTATTGGGGTGAGGTCTGGCGAGCATGCTGGCCGCTCCATCCGCTCTACACCCTGCTGCCTAAGGAATTCCGTGACAATCCTGGCCCTATGAGGCCTAGCGCTGTCGTCTTGTCGTAAAGAGGGTCGACCATAAAAGCCATGCATGGCTTGCAGGAATGGTACAGCTATAGGCGCCAGAATCTCGTCCCGATAACGCTGTCCGGGAAGGCTACCGTCGACCACGTGCAGTGGAGTACGTCCAGTAGAGGTATCCCTGCCCAAACCATGAGCGATCCCCAGCCAAGTCGGTTACTAGTATTTGTGGCCACGGTTGCATCTGTGATTCGTTCTCCATTGCGACGGTAAATCCTCTGCCGACCATCATGGAAGGACAATTAGAATCTACATCCATCTGTGACGAGCACATGAGACCATTGACGTTGTTTTCAGCGGTCATGATGTCTACTCCATCTCAAACGCGCCTGCCTGCGACGTGGTGTTAGTGGTGGGATAACTGCAGGTCGCCTACAGCGGATACATGACCCGTTTTATGGATAACAACTTCTTATTTATTCTTTACACGACGTTTCAGAGCTAATTCTTCATCAGGTGAAACGTGTCATGTATTCATGTTCATCCAACTTCTAAATACCCTTCAAAAACTGCCTACAGCGGAGTTCGGCTGCCCTTAAACGTCAACGAACGGTGTTCCTGGATATCCTTACACTGTTAACATTGAGGTGTTCTGTCTGAGGATCTGTTGCGTTAAGGAATCTGTTACGCAATGCAGTGTCAGTCATGTGCCTATCATCTCAGACTGTTGTGACACTGGGGCAACCTGGTCGACGTGGATATTCTATGGACCCATTGGCTTGAAATCTATGCCACAGTCTACCAATAGCACTCTGACTCACATTAAAGCGGACAGCAACCTGCCGCTGAGTTTGACCAGATTCCAAAAGGCCCATAGCCTGAACCCTTACAGCAAGTGTCAAAACACGTCTCTTCTTAAGCTGCGATTTCATCAGGTTACTGAACAGTGAACGACAGTCAAAAAGCATCAATGCTTCAAACTGTGTTGAATTTAGAAGACAAAGCTACTCTGTTTTCGATTTTGCGGTCCTTTATCGTTGATTTGAGACCACTAAGTTTAATTTAAAATCCTAACGCTTTGGATCCCCCCATTTCAAAATATTTAGGAGTTGTAGACAAGGTGATCCCTTACCCCCCTACATCTTTATACTATGTGCTGAAATGCTAGCAATAATGGTAAGAAAAAACAATAACATAAAAGGTACTAATATAAGTAGCATTGAATAGTTACTTTCAGTTTTCAGACGACACAACTTGTTCGCTAGACCATTCAGAACGATGCCTCTACGCTGTACTACAGGTTCTTAGTTTCTATGCTAGAGTTTCTGGCTTAAAAGTAAATATAGATAAAGCAAGGATACTCTGGATAGGATCAAAAAAACGTTCTAGAATCAAACTATGCCAAGAATGGAACCTGGGTTGGAGACAAGATCCGATCGATGTACTTGGAATAAAATTCAGTACTGATCTCGACGAAATGATTGGCTTGACCTATGACAAAACATTTAGAAAATGCGAAACCATCATGTGTTCATGAGTTTCAAGACATTTGACACCCCTTGGGAGAAATACCATACTTAAATATCTTATTCTTCCCAAATGAAACCATTTATTCTCATCTCTTCCAGATCCACCCGGTATAGGCTTATTAGGCTTTTCAATTTGGGAAAATAAACTTGACAAAGTAAGGAGAAGCCAGATTATTTGTGAAACATGAGATGGGGTATAAAATGCCCCAATATACTAGAAATAATTCATGCAGAATATATAGCAATGGTACGTCGAGCATCAAAGTCAACGTCAAAGTGGTGTCCAATATTCTTCTTGAATAATTCTAGTCCTTATAGTGAAATTACCTTAAGAAACTAAGACTACAAATGATTACTCGAATACGAAATGCATACTACAAAGACCTTATGAAACTTCATAGATAACATCCATGTGGCGAGTATAAATGATAAGGGCTTTTTAGCACAGTATATATGGTGTAACGAGAACATAAAAATAGGACATACCAGCATATTTTACAACGATTGGTTTGTAAATAGGGTACGTTACATCAACGATCTTGTAGATAATAAAGGATAATTCATGCCATTCAAAACCTTCCAAACTGTTTTCAACGTTAAAACTATTTATCCAACCTACACAGGTGTTGTTCAAGCTGTTAAACAATTCTGAAGAAGCCAACGATTACCAAAACTTAACACTTTCCTACAATCTCCCATTAACCATTTCATATATACCATCTGCAAACAAAAACTTGTTCACAGTAATACAATACTTATTTAATAAATATGCGAGAGAAATAATCACTTCGCTAAATGGGAGCATGTCCTTGGACATGATAGTAACGAACAAGATAGGAAGAGTATCAATTCTATCCCGTTTAGTGTCCGAATGTGACTGAACTACAGTGGTTCCAATAACAAATCTTACATCATATCTTGCTAACCAACTGCCTTCTCACTAAGATGGGTTACGTGGACAATACAAAATGCAGTTACCGTTCTAAAGAAATGGAAGATGTCATACATATATTCTGGGAATGCAACAAAGTGAGTTCCATCTGGAGAGACGTGGAAAGCACCGGTAACAGTATCCAAAAAAACCCGTTCTTGTTGGCTATCTATCGAAAAATAACAAACCCTTAAACTTTACCTTAAACTTTGCAATTATCCTGTCAAAACGAATCATTTTCAACTTTAGTAAGAATAACTACCCACCAACATTCCAGTTCATACAGAAGGAGCTCACTGAATCATGCAGGAAGGAAACTCATTTTTATTCATGATATAAATGACTGGATTGTGTGGTCCAATTTTTGTATTATTGACACGCTGTTGACATATACAGTACAACCAGAAATTATTGAGAATTTAAAGATTGTAATTTTTTTATTTTTTTCACTCATTACTCACGTATTAAATGTGAATATTAGCAGAACATAACTCCAGATTCAAAGACAGGTGAACAGTTAGTATTTTGTCAAGTCACCATGGACAGCAATGCAGGCTTCGGGGCATACTACAGATCAAAGGATTTAGAAAGTCGTGGTCCATGCTGTCTCAATATCGGACCACCTCTTCTTTCATTTCAGCGATATTTGTCAGATTTTGCTTATTGACACTTTCCTTCATAATCCCCAAATATTTTCTATTGGATTTGGGTAGGGCTATAGCTTGTCCAATCTAATAATGTCATATTTTGGGTCCGAAACCAGGCCTGTGAATGCTTTGAACGATGTTTTGGGTCGTTGTCCTGCTGGAAAATCCAAAAATGTCCATAGAACACGTGAGCAGATGGAAGTAAATGTCCCTCGAAAATATCTGTGTACTGCTCACCGTTCATATTCCCTTCAAATAGACAGAGGGGCGTTGCCCCTAACACAGATATGCCACCCCACACGTTAAATTTCGGACTGTACTTTGGGCGCTGATACAAAGGTTTTTCAGTTTGTTTGGTCCAGAATTTTAGTGTATTAGGAAACAGCCACACAGAACTTTCATCTGAGAAAATCGCATTATCCCAGTTAAAATTTCTATGCTGTAAGCACCAGTTCAACCTTCGCTCCTTTTGTTCAGGTTTCATGATCGGTGAAGGAATTCCTCGACTTTTCTGCCAACCCATTGCATGCAGCTCAGTTCTAATTGTCTCCTTACAGACAGCCACAGTTCCTCTATCAATCTATCCAGCCTTAAGTTTTCTAAACTCCTTCGTTTGTTTTTAGAAACAAGAATACCAAGACGCCTCCTGTCACCGACAGTCAATTTTCTGGGCCTACCTGCGCCTCCCTGGTGCTCAATGCCATATCCATTTGCAATATTTTTCATAACACGATAAACAGTGGACAAAGGGATGCCTGTTCTACTTGAAATCACTTTAGCTGATCTGATGTCCTTGTTATAATACTCTAAAATCAACTTCCTCTTCTCTAAATCATCCATACAGAGGATCACTGAAAATGTCGTCCGCTACCAAGTAAACAAAGGGGGATAACTCTTCACAAACTAATGAAAAAGGATTAACGGAGTTGTCTCTCTTGAATGAAACCAAGCACTTGATAGCTGGTCAAAGTTGTTTATACTAGAAATCCAATTAAACATATTCCTAAAATTCTCAATAATTTCTGGTCATACTATAGCTAGAAAACTGCTTAGTGTGGCGTTGAATAACAAATATAAAAGCCAATTTTGGAAAACAGTAGGAGTGGTTGCAGAGCCATGCATAACTTGTGAACATACATTATATTTCTCTCAGGACTGAAACGGATCAGTCAAGACGTCGAGATGATGATTGGCAAGCCACTACCGATGATTGTAAAGATTCTCTGGGCTCTGGTAACACCGACAATCCTAATAGTGAGTACAATCATAGAGTCATGGTTAATAGCGACATTACATTTTCTCTGGTACACGATACTAAACATGATATTATTACCTTCAAATTGTCATATATTGGAATGTCTTCAGTGTGATGTACCAAAGGAAAATCTACACATCATTCCCCGAACTGACGACATGACACAGATAACCTATTGCGAAATAATAACCTGTTTTTTACTATCATCAGAAACTGATTCCATTTGGTCTAAAGGGCAAAATATGTACGAAAACCATATGAATCATACAGATGGATCAGTGATGACACCAGGCGTTCGTCTAAAGCAAAGTGTATTCAGTATCATCGCCGAACATCACAACGTTCAGATGTTGTTACGCTCTTCCATTTCAATCGAGAACATAATAGAAGTTTCCTGAGTGAGTGATTATGGTTTTACGCGGCCTTTAGCAATATTCCAGCAATATCATGGCAGAGGACACCAAAAGTGGGCTTCACACATTGTACTCATGTGGGGAATCGAACCAGGTTCTTCAGCGTGAGGAGCGGAAGCTTTAACCAGAAGGTTACCCCACCAACACGGAAGTTTCCTGAAATATTTGTGCGCCATAAATATTCTCAACAATCAAAGTAACCCTACAATAAAACCAGGAGCAACTCATGCCAAGCACTAAGACGGTTAAAAGATGGTGAAATATGTCTTTAAACGTCACTGTTACATTGCGACATTACGAGTTATAGCTACAAGAAACGCATTAAACAACTTGCCTGGAATATATCAGCACCATACATACTCTACACGTCACCCTTAACAAAGTCAGGTCAATACGACATCGTCTTCCCTTGGTTACCCAGCCATGTTGGTATTTCTGGGAACACAATGGCCGATCTTGCTGCAAAGACAGCACTCAACAAATCTGTGAGACCACTTCTTATTCCATATACTGATTGTAAAGCCGTTATTAGATCGTATATCCGTGATCTAATGCAAAAGAAGTGGGACACTCAAGCAGGTATAAATAAATGACATGATGTAAAACCCTATATTGGTTACACCTACTTCGGTTGTCAGTCCAGACTTGAAGAAGTCATTTTAAGACGATGCCGTATTGGCCATTTTCGATACACACATGAATGCCTGTTAAAAGGTGAGGATCCTCCGTTTTGCATCCCTTGTGATGAGAGAATCACGGTCAAGCATTTCCCATCACAAGGGATAAGTATTTCAACGTAAAAACTGTGAAAGATCTTTTAGTAGTGTTAGTTTTCATTTAATCATCGAATTTTTAAAAGAAATAAGAATTATTCGATAAATTTGGAGGAATGGTGTGTAAATAGATGAGTATTTTATTATTGGTAGTTTAGATTAGTAACTGAGTTTGTTAGTGGCTGTACCCTCAAAGGGGTTGAAGTATTGTAAAATGATTGTCCTCCTGAGAGGGTACGTAAGTCCCAAAACATTCAAAGTCAATTTAAATCAATCCAACCTTTCTAATCGTAGAATATGTGTGCTTGTAATATATATGGCTAAATGTGTCTAAACCGCGAACGGCTGAAGGGATGGTGTAAATCCAGCTTGGGTCCATGCAGGAAGTAAATGTTCTGTAAGTCCCCATGGTCCCTAGTATGGTGATCTACCTTCAGTCGTTGGCAGTCTATAGCCTGTTTTTATATTGTATTGTCATTTATAGTTGAAATATTTTAGATTTGGTTACAAGATTTAAATGGATATCTGCGATACACTGGTAGTTTTACTGTTCTTCGTCAACAGGCTTTTAATTTCTAACTTTGTTCATCTTTAATATAATTATTAATTGTTCCCGTCACGATATGGCTGAAATATTGTCGATGTGACGATCAATATTAACTCACTCACTCACTCACTTAGCAAAGTCAACTTACGATATGTTTGTTTCATATCTAGATCACCTTCATCTTTACACTTCTCCGCTACCAGCCACCAACCTACGGCAAGTACAAGTTTCCCAGCTACGCCCCTGCAATCGGATGGATTATTGCAGTGCTGCCCCTTCTACCGATACCTGTCTACATGGTCATGACTGTCAGGAAGCACATGGCGACCAATTCCCTGAAGAAGGTAATGCATTGTGTTTCTTCCGTTTTTAAGAATTCGGGTGACATTTCAGATGATGTTATTCACTATGTACAATGCTTTTCACGTTTGAATTTGAAGGTCTTTGATTTGGTTCGAGGAAAATAGAATTTAGAGGGTATTATTGTAGAGTGTATTGTTCGGCACATACCTTGAAGTGCGTGCTGATGGAACCTTTGTAAAATTTAAATTGCTTTCATTGACAGAGTGTACGTCTTGCCTTGCGGCCTGATGATGAATGGCGTCCTGCAAATTCCAGAAGCCAGCAAGATTACAGGATGAATCGACAAGATAACAACCAACTAACAAGACTATCCTCGTTTTGCTGTTCAAACAATAAGGCCTAACATTGTGTTTCAATCTGGTCTTTATTGTACTCAGACGCAGTACTCCAACATTTTAATACACACTTAAATGCAACCTTTCACTAATAATCCCTTCACAGTTATCAGAAATACATCAAATATATGAAAAAACATCGATATGAAATCACTCATTTGTTCGAGTGTGTTTGATTTCCTGTATTAGTTGAAACGTTGAAACAATAATTGAACCAAGATTTCTAAACGCCCAACAATTCAGTTTGAAACCCAACACAGAACATAGAAAAGGCATAAAAAACAACTAGGTTTCAAAATTGATACAAATTTATACAAAATATTAGACATATAGAATACAACAGTAGTGGTAAAAGCAGTGAATTCATTGAAATTATATGAATTAACAGCAACAGTGTTCCAGCTCCAACATTAAGCCTAGGTTAGATACACAAAGTAAAAAAGACCCATTGCTCTTGACTGATAGAAATTGCTCTTCGAATAAATCAAACGAAAGTGGATATCGGATGTCCGGTTCATAACCTCAAATGAACATTCAAACGTATAATTAAATTAAGTCTTTGACTCCAAATAGTGTTTGTTTCCAAAATTGTTGATAATACATTGCTTAAACACAACCCAAACAAATAAAGCAATGCATGTGGTACCAAGATCTATGGAAGTTCGCTGCACTTTCAGCATGCCAACATGTATCGATACAAAAGGAAAAGCGCATTGCTAAATAACATCCAGGCGGTAGGGCAGTGACAAACAATATGCATGGATCAACAGAGACAAAAAGCTGTTGGTACGATACATCAAGCACGTGGTGCCCCTAGTATGGTAATCTACCTTCAGTTGTTGGCGATCTATAGCCCATTTTTACATTGTATTGTCCAAAAATAGTTTTCTACGTTTAAAGATATATTCTAGCTAGTTTTAACTGATTTTGTGATCATCTAGTAAGTTTCTTGTCCTTCGTTGACAGGGTTCCAAATATTATATATAATGTATTATGAATTTAGAACTAGTTTTAGTCACGATATGACTGAAATATTGCCGATGTGACTTTAAATTTTAACTCACTCACTCACTCACTCAAGCACGTGACTAGTTTCGGCAGCAGGTGACTGATAAAGTCACATACTACGCTAAGATAACGACCATGTTAGAACAGTTAGAACACACTCGTTAGAGTGAGTGAGTTGGGTTTTACGCCGCACTCTGCAATATTCTAACTACATGGCTGTGGTCCGTAAATAATCGAGGCTGCACAAGACAATCAACAGCATGAGTATCGATCTACGCACTTGGGGGTACGATGACATGATTTGACCAAGTCAGCGAGCCTGGCCACCCGATCCCGTTAGTCTTACGACTCTTACGACAAGCATGGGTTGCTAAAGATCAATTCTAACCCGGATCTTCACGGATTACACTCATTGTAATGATGTCGAGTCCCATTTTGGCGATCAGACGTTTCACATTTTCTGTCTATTCTGTTGTTGGCAATATATAGCCTTTTATATTGTATTGTACTCTGTAGCTAAAGTGTTTTAGATTTATTTACTAGTTTTAAATGTATATTTGTGATAATCTAGTTGTTTTACTGCCCTTCGTTGACAGGATTTTAATATTTACTCTCAATTACACTAAATCTATAATTTGATTTAGTCATGATATGGCTGAAATATTGCCGATGTGACTAAAAATATTGACTCACCCACTATTAACTCACTCACTCACATACAAGATAATGACTGACGCAGGTGTTACATTGTGAAGGATTTTCATGTGCGATTTAAGTTCTGATGGTGGATTGATAACTGTCGTCATCCAGGGCAACACACAACCTTCTCTTTTGTCCTATTCACGGCATAACCTGTGATAGTGCTGTTAATTAATGGGGTTCTTAATATGGCATTTCTCAACACAGTCAACAAAGGAGTTAATAACCTTGTCCAAGGATACCAAGGATGACTCGCATAATGTGGACTCTTGACAAAGAAGATTTAAAATTATTAATAATGGAAAAAAGTTATAGGCATACTATTCATATGTTTTGTCTCCACCCTACCTCTCCAAAACCTTGTTTTTGAAACTTAATAATAATAATAATAATGTGTCCATTTATATCGCGCCAAACTCCACACTAGGTATGCTCATAGCGCTAACAATCAAGGCACAGCACATTATTATATAGTCATATTATTATAGTCATATGACTTTTTTCCGCCGGGTACCCATTTTCCTGCTGGGTGAACAGAGACAATTTTGAACAAACTCACTTACCTAAGGTGAGACCACATGTGTCACATGTGCTTCGTTGTGGGGCAGGACTCAAGTCCTAGAAACTCTCAGGAGTCAAGCTGCCAAACACGGTCACCCATCCAAGGACTCTCCGAGCTCGACGCTGCTTAACTTCACCGATTTGTGACCTGAGCTTTGAGCACAGGACCACGCGCCACAAACTTACTGCACAAGGATGTCGATAGGTTACTAGTTCGAGCTCGTTACAATGTCAATAATTTCACTAAACGGAACTGGAAAGTGCAAAGAGTTTGGTACAAACGTGTTATTTGTATGATTGTGTGCGTACGTGTGTGCGTATTTGCGTAGGTGTTTAAACTGATCACAACCTGTTTTGATACACCCATGCAACCGGATATAAGCACGCATGAGCACAAAACATACACATAATATATCCGGCAATATGTATTTAGAAAATCGCATAGTAGTGAGAGACTGCCAGGTCTTGTGGTAACAACTTGGAATCATAGCCAATCGACAGAGAGAGTGAGAGTCTTACACAGCTTTTAGCAATATACCAGCACTCCCTGCGGGAGACACCAGAAATGGGCACTATACACTGTACCATGTGGGAATCGAAATCAGGTATTCGGCGTGAAGAGGGAGCGCTATTACCGCCGAAGAGGCTACCCGGCTGACCCCGCTGTCAAGGACTAAATCGCATCATTATTCGATGTGGGTATAAAACTATCGGAAACGACAGAATTTGTGGAGTATCATCAAGTAATGAAAGGTGATATCCACCTAGTACACACAGCATTGTCCCCCGCCGCAACGCGGAACAGGGGACCATGTCTTCAGCAGCGTCCGTACGTCCGTACGTACGTCCTGATTCTTGTTAACGCGATATCTCATGAACTGGTGTGCAATGTGGCTAATAGATTAAACAATGTAATATGTTATTCATTCATGATTAAAAGGTTGCATTGTCTTTGAAGATTTAGACATAATTTAGTCACCTGTTTTGAATATAAAACATGGTTTAGATATTGAAAAACTCGAAATGTTTAGCCTCCGAGCTGTAGAATATATTGCCATTTCTTATAAATTTGATGTCAGGAATTAACATAACGGGTTTCAGGGTAGGGTAGGGTAATAGGGGCTGGGTAGAAGTTTTGGACCCGTCCCAACCCTAATACACACGGATACTGACAGTGGATGTGATCGTCTGCTTCTATACATTCAAATCTACTATATTCCTGAAATGTCTTTGGCTGTATTGATTTTTCCAGCACAAGGAATAATATTTCAATGTCAAAACAGTTAAGGACCTTTTCACTAAATGTTCATTATCTTTTAATCATTGACTTTTGAAAAGAAATAGAGTTGTTAGATAAAATTTGATTACAGTTGTGTAAATAGATACATGTTTTATGATTAGTAGTTTAAACTTACAACTGATATTGTTAATGGCTGTGTCCTCTAAGGGGTTCCAGTACTGTGAAATTATTTTCCTCCTGAGAGGGTACGCAAGTCTTAAAACAAGTATAGTCAATTTAAGCTTAGTACTATTTTTAACCGAAAGTTACATGTTATTTTAATTTATGGCTAGATTGTCTAAATTGCTAACATCTGAAAGGATTGTGTAAACCCAGCTAGGGTCCATGCAGGAAGCAAATGTACTGTAAGTCCCCGTGGTCCCTCGTATGTGATCTCCCTTCATATGTTGGGAATCTATAGCCTATTTTTATGTTGTGTTGTCCTCAATAGTTACAATGTTTTAGATTAAATTACTAGTTTCAAATTTATATCTGTGATAATCTATTTTTTTTAATGCCCTTCGTTGACAGAATGTTATAATTTACCTTTAATTATTAATATATAACTTGATGTAGTCACGATATAGCGAAAATACTTCCAATGCGACTTAAAATGTTAACTCACTCACTCCTGAAATATCTTAATACTAGTTAGGAGAAGATTTTAAGAAGTAACCATGACCAAAAAGATCATGTGGCCAAAAGATAAAAACTAGTAAATGTGTTATATTTCATTCTTCTTTTGTGGCACACACTTGTTCTATGTATTTTGGGTCCAAACAATCTCGGTCAAGTCTGGTAAGAAAGGTTCAGTGATTAGAATTGACAGCCTTTGGTGTTTACGTTTCCCAACGTCATATGACTCTTATGTAGTTGTCAAATCAAAGTTACAACATTCAAGGTCTCAACATACCTATCACATGTTTTGTGATGTACATTTCCAAACTAGACGCGTAAGTGACAAACATGATGTCCGATGTATTTTACTATTTTGTTTTGTGCCATATGTTCCCGTTCTATTTCTTTTTCACAAGCACTTGCATTGACGAGTGCCACCGATCGGGCAGGACACATTCAACTAAAGCTGACTCATGCATTCGTGATATCAGCAAATGCTATCACCATCACAGATACCTAACCCTTCGACCAGCCATGTCCCATCAGAGTCCAAACTGGAATTCCAAACCGGAATTCGATTGGTTGATTTTCTACTTTTACTTTTGTTTACTTCGATGTTTTTAACTCGCTTGGTATCAGTTGGTATTTGACGACAGTGCACCCAATAACTCAGTGTGCTAGTAGTGAGAGTTCCTAAATGCCGATGTAAGAAACAATATTATATGTGGCTTTGTGATGCTAGTAACTATATATATGTAGGTGTTATATGCTTGTATGCAAACGAGCTTTATATGAGCAGTTCGTATGCGCCTGCGGGCATTCATATTCATATTACATTCATGAAATTTACATCAATCGATTAGTTTGCGTATGGTAAGGCTTTT